CTAAGGTTAGTGTAACAGATTCAGGCTTAAAACATGTAATCATAATATGGATAAATCACTGGGTGACATAAGGTGCTGTCTTGTTGCAGAACTGCCCTCTGGGAAAGGATTGCGTTACCATGGAATGTAATACTTTTACTTTGAAGAATTATTCAGACGTTCACTTTTCCTTGGAGGGAGATGTGCATTTCAGAAATCTAAAAGACTACGCATCAGTATGTACTGTGACAAGTAAAGACAAAATACGCCCCACATATCTGCAAAATGTCTTTTAACTGTCCTGCTCTTGCTTTAAAGAATATGCCTTTCCTGAATCAATTTACTGGAGACAATCGAGAGGTCCATTTTACAAGCTTTATACAAATTGACTACGATGCTGGTAGATACATGCTGGATGAGGTATGTATTAGTTGCACTGCTGTAATACCATGTTAAAGGAAATGAAGATAGTAATAATCTTAGTTTTGGTTTCAGAAGAAGATGCAGATTGACAAGAAACTAAAGGTATCAATGTTTACTAGTCTTACCTTTACTTATTTTTTATTACAAATCAATCTTTCTTTAAAAAGGCATAACTCTGCTTTATTTTTTTCTTCCTCTTCTAACAGGCTAATGTTCTTGTTGAGTTCACTGTGCCCCAAAATAGACCACTTATCATTGGAACTGGAGTAGTGCTGGGAATTTTGCTTCTTTTCTTGATTGCATTCATTATGTACAAGGTGAGATTTTTAGTCTTTGGTCTGAAGAATTTAATTGATTTTATTGTGTTTGTTCTAACTGCTTTTTGTGCTTGAAGTGTGGCTGCTTCAAGAGGAAAACCCTTGAGGATTATCAAAACGAAGAAGACAATCTCTCTGCTCAGAATGGGTGTGCATCTGATTTGTCTCATGATAAAGCTGAACAAGTTGAGGAGGAAAAAGCTTTAAATAAAGATGAAGAGAAAGGCAGCATCTCTGCTGCTTTGGAATGAGACCAAGAGGCGGCGATCATTTGGGCTGAACTAATTCAAACATGAAGGATGTTGGCCATACAATCCACCAATTAAAGGGAAATTAGAATGAAAAACGTCCCGACTTGATAAAATAGGAT